GGAAGAGGATTCTGATTGGAGGGGAGCAAAGGACAGGGAAGACCTGGTGTTGACATCAGGTCCTAGAAAGCCTCTAAAAGGGCTCAAGCAGCCCAAGGCGCTGCGGGGTGAGGGGAGGGTGTTAGCTGCTTTGTGCACCTGACGACTGGTGACTCCCCGTGACGCAGACGTGCTAATCTGGATCTGGCACTGCCGCTGGGCCTTGGATACTCACATCCTCTTCCTGCTTTGCTCTGGCTCTCCTGCCTATTTGTTTGTTCTTCCCTCGGCCCTGACTTCTGATAAGGCCTGTCCTACATTCATAGTTTGAGAGGTTGAGCAAACATAAGATTCAATGGGTTTGTGGGGGGAAGGGGGAGGGTGGACTGTGCCATATGGGGCTAAGCCCTATCATTGCTTTTCTGTCCTAGATATTGCTGTGGAGTTGCTGCAGAAAGTGGCTCCCAGCCCTATTCGCAGACTCCAGAAGAAATACGTGTCTCATGTATCTCGGTAAGAAGCAAAACCTTTCCCCTCATGTCCCATGTCAGAACTGGGAACTCTGGTCTCACCTATGACTCGCTGCTGTCCCCTAAGCCAGCGCTGGCTTTGTGCTTAGGCTTGATTAGTGTCAAAGAGGAGCTGGGGACAGATGGCAAGGCCAGCAGGCACAGTGGCTTCCTGACACAGCCAAGCCCACTTCAGATTGGCCCTGCTTTCTGGGGCACAGGGGTGCTCTTGTTACTGGGAATCTGTACTAGCTGGATCTGCAGCTCAGTGAGGAGCCAGGTCTGAACCCTAAGCCAAGCCCTTGCAGCGTGCCTGGCTGCAGGCAACTGACCTGCGAACAGGAGCCAGGGATTTCTGCTCTCCATCCTCCATCCCCTGTGCTTTCTCTCACTGCAGCTGAGCACAGCTGGTGCAGAGCTGGCAAGGCTGGGATGTATCTAGCTGTCTGTTTACTGTACCTCCCTGCTACCTACGTGGAGAGGGAAGAGCCAAGTTGTGCCATGGTGGCTGAGTTGTTTGTAACATGCAAATAACCTTTGGGCTGGCTCTTGCCTTGTTCCACAGGGAAGCTTGCATCTCGCCCTGCTCCATGATGCTGGCACTGGTTTACATTGAGAGACTCCGGCACCGGAACCCCGAATACCTCCAGCAGATCTCATCTTCAGACCTCTTCCTGATCTCCATGGTGAGCAGCGGGGGCTAGAGGAGGTCACTGGGTTGGAGGAAGATCTGTAGTGATGCGGGGCGTCTGACATCCTGTCCTTTGTGCTGCTTTTAGATGGTTGCAAGTAAGTACCTGTATGATGAGGGTGAGGAGGAGGAGGTGTTCAATGACGAGTGGGGAGCAGCAGGGAAGGTGGATGTCCAGACCATGAACACACTGGAGATGAACTTCCTGAGCGCCATTGTAAGTGGGGCTGTCACTTTGGCCAGCTATTTCACAGAGTGGGGCAAAGGAAGCATTAAGGGGAGTCTCGATTTCTGTTTCTCCCTCATGAACTCCCATGAAGGGGTAGAGAAGGATGTGTCTGGGAGCTGGGTGGCCTGCCCTAACTGTGCTTTCCCTGCTGTCCCCACAGGACTGGAGTCTCTACACAGACCCTCGGGAGCTGTTTGAAGTGCTGAGCTGGCTGGAAGGACGGTAGGTGTAGGGAGTGAGCTTTTCATCCACCCTGCAGCCCCTGCTCAGAGCGAGCACTGCTGCAGTGAGATAAGATGTTGGGGTAGCTGTGAGCCTTCGCTAGGCTCTGCAGCTCCCTTCCATAGACCTTCAGCAGGGTCTTCTCCAAGCCTGCCTGGGCTGAAGCTTTGATGGAGAAGGTCTGTGTCACATCCACCATCCCCTTTTTCTCCCTGCAGTGTGGCAGAAAAGCAGGGCATGTGGCGTGGCTGGTTCACCTACACGGATCTGTGTGTCCTCATGGAGCAGTCCATGTGGCAGCATGTGCTGGGTCAGTTCTACCAGCAAGTGGTAAAGGTAAGGGCATGGGGCAGCAGCTACCTGTAAAAATGTGGGGCCCAGCAGGCCATGGGTTGTGAGCAGGACCCCGTTTTCCACTGGGAGCAGCAGCTTGGTACATTCCCTGTTGAAAAGGGAAGCTGTCAGGAGCCAGAAGATGCTGATTTGCAGCTATGCTGCCTAAGGCACTGCAGCCTGGTGCTGGGTTAGCCTGTGCTCTGTGCTGGACCACAGCCCCACAAGTCGTGGTGCGGGGTCACGGTGGTGGCATGGAGGGAACTGGGTGCTGGCTGAGGATTAAACAGGAACTGTTGGGTTTTAGCTGGGGCATTTTGGTGTGTAGCATTTAGGCCCTGCTTTGAACCGACCGTGTACCACCCGCTGTCAGCAGCATGGCTGCCTGCTCCCCGGCATCCAGCCTTGGTGCTGGTGGTGCCGTTTGGTTGTGGTTGGCTGTGAGTTACTGCTGGCGGCCTGGACTAACCCATCGGCTTCTCTGCAGCTGGCCTGTCTCCTGGGCGTGGTGTACCTGACCGGCTTTGCTGCTGTCTTCGCCTCTGTCACCGTGATGCACCGCTCTGTGTGCATGAGGAGCGTCAGCCCTGCGGCCCCCTGGCCTGCGCTGTTCCCTGAGGAGAGCAGCTGCCTGCTGGACGTCCAGCCAGCGCCAGCCCCTGACCAGGCCAAGCCCAAGCTGCCCAATGTCTCTCAGGCCAGCAGCACCTCTTGCCTGGGGGAGAACGAGACGACTGAGGAGCCACGTCGTGGGGGTGTCACAGCGACTGCGCTCTACCTGTGGGGCAGTGTGATGACTGCACTGTCCTACCCGAAGGCGCCTGATCTAGCCCAGCACAGGAGCCCCCTGCAAAGCCCCTTTCAGAAAGTACCCACCGCCTGTGAGAGATCTAACCGTACCGCCCCCAGCCAGCCTGGCCCCGTCGGACTCGCCATGCTCCCGGCTCCTCTGGCGCTCCACTGCCATGCCTGCTCAGCCGCTGCCGGTCCCACGTGGGATGCAGCCCCTAACCGCAAGAACTGGCCGGACCCCCTGGGGCTGAGGCAGTGCTCCTTGCACACTGCCATGGATCTCAGTAGAATCAAGAGCTTCATTTTTCCCAGCTAGGAGCACGAGGCAGCAGCCCCTTTCCCCTTCCCTCCTAGTGTGGCACAATTCACTTCCTTGCACTTCTGGGACCCCTGATCCCTGGGGCTGTGCGGGGCTGGAGGCCCCTGCGTTACTTCCAAACCAGCATTTATGTCCCCCTGCCCAGGGCAGGGCTGTTGTTCACTTTGGGGGCTGCTGGGACAGGTTGGGGCAGAGTTAGCTTGCTGTTGGGTTGCTGGGGTGGGAACCTACTAGCTGCAGGATAGAAATGGGATGCCCTTGGGCCAAGGTGCTAGGGCAAGGGGGGTGCTGTACCTCTCCTACAGCGAGTGTGTGGCCCCTGGTGCTGGACAGAGGTGGTGTGTGGGATGTAGGATGCTGGGGCTGTGTGTACAGGGTGGAAGGGCTGGGGCAGTGACCCCAGCAGGAGGTTGGGGTTCTCTGAGGGGAGGTGAGATGCCTGAGAAAAGGGAGAGGAGGTAGAAAGAGGGGAGAGTGAGCAGCCTGAGCTGGCTGGCCATAGCAGTTCCCCTTAGAGGCTAAAGGGTCACACCAAGAGAAGACCCCGATGTGGCTGTGCCTCAGGGAAAGGTTGTGCCCTGCTGACCTTGGAGGTGGTGAGGTGTGATTAAGACTGATCTTCCTTATCCTGTGTGTGTGGGGGGTGCTTTGAAACTGGGGTGCTCTGTGACCCGTGGCTGCAAGCAAACGGTGCCTGACTGCTCCTCAGAGCAGGAAGATGGTACTTTTGCTGACCCACCCAGCTCATCGTGCCCCTTCTTTTTTACTGTGGATTTTACACCTGTTTTTCACTCTTTTGTAGATGCAAATCTCTTCCAATAAAAGTAGTTCTTGCTGTGCCCTTGCCTTGTCCTGCTGAGCCGCTCCATGCTGGCAGCATGCCCACTACAGAGCCCCATTGATACAGCTCTGCTTGCACTCTGAGCCAGGGTGCAAGGCAGATCCTAGGCACTGGCAAGTGAGCCCAGGAGCAGTGAGACCTGTGCTGCAGGGCTCAAGAGGGACCAGGCTTTCTGGTGACAAGGGACAGGAGAGACATGGGGTCTGGTGCCTGAGGATGGCAGGGGCAGCAGGAGGGAGGAGGTTCCCCATCCTTGGGAATGTGGGGAATGCATGGTCGCCACCGCTCTTTGCTCTCTGAAGTCCAGTTAATGAGCGAGCCCAAGCGACTAAGGTTTGGCAGGGTCACTGTTGTGGTTGCTGGCACAGTCACCTCTGCCCTGTGACAAAAACATGAACATTCTCTGCCTGTGCTCCCTTTGGGAGCCTTCCCAGTCAAGCGAGCAGCTCTTGTCCTTGGCATCCTTGTTTAGCAGTAGGATTCAGTACCCTCCTAGGAGCATGGGAAATGTGGTAGACCCCCATCAGAGCCCCTTGTGTGGGCACAGTGGGCTCAGTGCCCACAGAGGGGAGTGCAGGACCTGGGTGGGGGCTGCCCAGCTTTTAACAGGGTCCTCAGGGTGTGATGGTGAGGGAGGGCTGGGCCAGGAGAGCAGGGCAATGCTGTGCTGGGGAGGATCAAGCATGGGCTGGGCATGCTGGGGCTGGAGGATTCTCTTGGTGGGGATGCTCTAAACAGGAGAAGGAGGAGGTAGCTGTGCTATGGCCCAGCCAGTCCCTGCCCCGTGTACCACAAGAGGCAGGGATGGGACCTGGGCTGTGAGCAGTTGGCACTGTAGTGGTGTCCAGTGTCCTGGTCATGGGTGGCTGTCACCTGGTCCTTGTGGTGACAACCCAAGGTGACACCTGCATTCCTGGCTGCCGGAGCAGGTTACTCACCAACTCAAGTTAATGGCTAACCCTGGGGCAGCTCCTGCAGAAGGTGGAAGTTCAGCTGTGCACGGGCTGTGAGGAGCCCTTGGGGGGGTGGGAGCCTGCCCACCCCCTCTGCACTGTTCCCTAGGAGCAGTACAGGGAGGCAGCAGCATGAATGGGGGCCACTGCAGAGCGCCTGATGCTGAGAACCGCACACTTACATCCTGCTCCCTGGAGAAGATGTGCTCCTGGATGCTAAGCTGTTGCTTAGCCCTTCAGGTAGGGAGGGACCACAGTGAGCAGCCAGAAAGGTGTGGTGATGGGGAGAGGGTTGGGATCCTCAGGGGTGGCAGGGTGGGGGCCACATCCTGCCAGGCAGAAGGTGCCTGGGGCTCTGGCCAGAGTGTGCTGGGAGGGGAGCGGGCAGTGGACATGCATCCACTTAGGGAGGTCGGACATGAGGGGGCTGCAGCTTTGGGTGTTGCAGGTAGTCGTGACCATCCCCTCTCTCCCCCACAGCACCTGGCTGTGCAGGCCTCCTTGCTCTGCGTCTTCCACCTCCTCCTGCTGCCCTCTCTGCCTGAGGAGCCACCCCACGCCCAGGCCACCAGCGAGCTGCTGGCACGCAGCCTCTTTGCCTGCGGCATCTCCACGGTGCTGCAGACCACCCTGGGGAGCCGGTGAGCGAGGGGGATGCAAGGGATGCAGCCGTTGCCTGGAGGAGAGTGGCACCGTGGCAGGGCACGTCTCTGTCCCCTCCTAGGCTGGGGAGGACAGTCTTTGCTGGAGCTGGGAAGGGGCACAATGACAATCCCTTGCCCTGCATCTCTGCACGGCTGTCCCCTCTCTGTCATCACTACATCCTCCTCTCTCACACTTCCCTCTGGCAAAACTGCTGTGCTTTTCCCTAACTCCTTGCTGCCTTGCTCCAGCATCATCCACAGCTCTTCCAGACCATTCAGTGCCCATACTGTCCGTGCAGGGGCTGGGTGTGTGCTTTGGCAAAGTCCCTGATCTGTGTGCACATCCCACATGCTGCCATTTGGGATGTACTAGGGCACATTTAAGATATGAGGTGTCCTCCTGCAACATTGGGGTTCCCACCTCCTCCCATTCCTCACTCCTCCAGCAGCCAGGGCTTTGGGAGCAGCCCTGTCCCCACTTTCCTCCCTAATATGCCCTTGCTGTCCTTTTCTCCAGGCTGCCATTGATTCAGATCCCATCCTTCGAGTACCTGGTCCCTGCCATGGTGCTGAGCTCCCACCCGTCCCTCAGTGCCAGCACAGACAGGAACGGTGAGCACAGCCCTGGAGTCTGCATTGTGTGGGGCCCTGGCCAGAGGAACAGAGATGATGAGGTACCTGGGGTAGGGATGAGAGGTAGCAAGGGGTCCTGCCTGCTGGCCCTTCTAGTGATGGTGTGCAGCACCTTACACGCCCCTGAGCACGCCTGCAACGTATCTGATCACCTCCCCAGAGCCAGGGCTTACGGGAATGGGGATGCTGGCACACTGGCCCTTCTCCAGCCAACAGCCTCCATGCTGCGTGCTCTTGGTCCCAGCTCAAGGAGCACAGTGTCCGCACACATCACATCCTTCTGAAATTCCCTTCCAGGCACGGCTGTGAGCAGTGCGTGCCCTGCGCCGCACTGTGCTGTTGTGGGGAGCCGGGCTGCCTCACTGCGAGAGGTGGGTGCTTCTGTGCTGGGCTGCGGGACCCCAGTCACTACCTGCAACCCCCAGCCCCTTTACCAGCCCTCCTGGGGATTGCCATGAACAGGGGAGACCAAAGGGGATGTGCAAAGGCAAAGGGGGTCACGGTGCACATGGTTGCATGTGTTCTTCTGGGCTCAGGGTGAGCAGAGCAGAGTTGGAGCATGGCAAATGAGTGATGCTGCTGGGGCAGGTGGGAGAGCGACCAAGTGGGCGTGTGGGGCTGCTCACTGTGTATCCTGCCCCATGGGTCCTGTCCTCTCGTTCTGCAGGTCTCTGGAGCCGTGCTGGTCTCTGGGCTGATTCAGTTGGTGCTGGGAGTGTCTGGCGTGTGTGGGTGGGCAGCCCGGCGCTGTGGGCCCATGGTCCTGGCCCCCAGCCTCTCCATCATTGGGCTGTCTGCATACAAGGAGGCCGCTTTCTTCTGCTCCACTAACTGGGGGGTAGCACTGCTGTACGTGAGCCATGGGGCCATGCTGGTGTGCAGCCCCCTGGGCTTCCCTTCACCATGGGGAAAGGAATTGGGCAATCCTGCAGTGCTTGGCATGCATTTGGGGCCCCATTGCTGTGATGCTGTATGGTGACTTGTGCTCCTTGTCCTAGGCTCATGCTCCTTGCTGTCACCTTCTCCCAGCACCTGGGGTCCTGCCGCCTGCCTTTCTGTGCCTGGTCCCAGGCTCAGGGGAGCTCCACGGAGCCATCCGTCCCTACCTTCCGCACATTCTCGGTACTGTGGCTTGTCTGCCCCTGCTCCTGCTGCTGCACCCAGGCTTCTCTCGGAGCCTGGCTCTTTGGTGTGGGGGTAGGTGGGACCCAGTGGCCCTGGAGCAGAGCTGGGTGCTGGAAGCAGAGGCAGGCGAAAGTCCTGATGCAGCTCCTGGGGAGTGGGTGCTGCTGGGGGAGTGCAGGGGATGTGTGCTTATGCGTGTTGGAGTAGCAGAGCCTGGGGTGCTCCATATGGGGGTAAGGGAAGATGTGGTATGGTTCCCTAGGACAACACAAGGGTCTGTTTGTTTGGGGTACAGGAAGCAGGATGCCAGCCAGGGGAGAAGAATTCCCTGCTGCGACTCCCATTGCTGCCTTGCAGGTACTGCTCCCATTCGCTGGTGTCTGCATTGTCTGTGCCGTCCTCAGCCATCTCCACATCCCCTGGGAAACGCTGGACCCAGCCATGGCACAGCTGTCCTGGGCCAACAGCACCTTCCGTGCTCCTTGGCTCCGCATCCCCTATGCAGGTGAGGAGCAGCAGGGCTGGGTGCAGCCATCAGCCCTCAGCACAGGCCCCTGCCACCCATCCCCTCTCTCTCCGCTGCAGGTGAGTGGGGGTGGCCACTGCTCACCCCCCGCGCACTGGCAGTGGGCATTGCCATGGCCATCGGTTGCAGCATGAACTCAGTGGGCTGCTATGTGCTGTGCGGGAGGCTTCTGCGAGCCCCCCGGCTGTCCCCTTATGCCTGCAACCGAGGGCTGTGCACGGAAGGGCTGGGCAGCCTCCTGGCAGGGCTGCTGGGCACCCCAGGGGGCTCTGCTGCCAGCATCGCCAACGCCTGCACCACCAGCCTCACACAGGTACACCAGGGGTGGGGGCAGAAAGGCTGACGGGGGATGGGGAGGCAATGGTTGTGGGCACCTGTCGCAGCCAGGCTGTCACTAAGCCAGCTGGTCTGTATGGCATTATGGGGGGACAGACTGGGGGGTGCCTCTCCCCATCCTCACTTCTCCATCCTTTCCACCAGGCTGGCTCTCGCGTCTCGGTGCAAATAAGCGCGCTGGTGTGCGTGGTGTTGGGCTTGTCCCCAAGGCTGGTAGGGCTCCTCACCCGCATCCCCCTGGCTCTTCACGGTGAGTGCCCTGCCCTTCCCCTGCACTGAGGTGCTCGTAGCCTGTGCAGCACTGCCTGACTCCTGTCCCTCACAGGTGGAGTGCTCTGCATCACCTACGCCGTGGCTGTGGGCACAGGGATCTCCTACTTTCAGTACGCAGACATCGACTCAGGGAGGAACACCTTCATCGTCGGCTTCGCCATGTTCATGGCACTGCTGGTGCCGTGGTGGCTTGGTGCGGCTCCAGCTCACTTGGCCACAGGTAGCAGGGATGTTCCCTGGGCAAGGCAAAGCCTTAGGTCTCACGGCATGGTGACCACACATCTTGGATGTCCTGGGAGCCTGGAGCAGCTCATAGAAGCAGGCAGCTCCCTTTCCAACCTTTGGATCTGCTGTGGCAGCTCCTGCCCCTTCCTTGCCGTTGGGCTGGGATGTCCTGGGTGACTCTGGCACTGTCCCTGCAGGCTGGGTGCCCCTGGACCTCCTCTTCCTCTCCCTGCTCATGGTGCCTGTTTTCTTGACTGGCTTCTTGTCCTTTTTCCTGGAGAACACAGTCTCAGGTGAGGGGATGGTGCAGCACGTCTGCATGAGCCCCTGCTCTGAGGGCTGGATCTGGCCATTGGACTGTCCCCAAACCACCATCTCTGCCTCCAGGCAGCCCTGCTGGGGGTCCTGGGGCTGGCATGGGCTGGGAGGGTGCAGCTGCAGGAAGGTCCTCCCATTTCACTGCCCTGGTTGCAGGAACCCTGGAGGAGCGAGGGCTGCTCTCTGACTTGGTGCTGCAGAAACCTGGGGCAGGCTATCACCACCCTCATGGAGAGACGGGCGAAGCCAGCCAGGTGTATGGGCTCCCTGCCTGGCTGAGGAGGCTGCTGCCATGCTTGTGCAAAGCCTTCCCCTGCTGCTTCCTCTGCCCGGGGAGCGAGGAAGAGGAGGAGAAGGAAGAGGAAGAAGATGAAGACAGCCATGTCCCCGAGGAGGGCACTGCTGCCCCAGGGGAAGGGACACACCTGCTCTCCAAACCCAGCTCAGGGGAGTCACAGCTGGCCAGGAGGCCAAGTGAGACAGAGGTGCCTGCGTGGCACACTGTGGCCTGACCCTGCGGTACGGGGACACCTCGTGGGTGACCAGGGCTGTGCCCCCAAGGCAGCTTGCGAGCTACTTTGCTGATCACTTCCAAAGCCCGCATGGACTGGAGGGACTTGCTTCCACACTCTCAGCATGAACCTCATTTCCCTGTGTGGGAGTGAGCTATAAAAACCTTCAACCACTTTTGCCCTTTCCAAGGGTTTCCTTTCCAGCCAGGGTTTGCCTGTGAGATGCCTGCTGCCCCTCCCCTAGTGCCACTGCAGCTGGAGTTGTGGGTGCCCTTAAAGCTCACCATCACCCTGGGGATGAGGCTGGGGAAGGGCTCAAGTACTTTGGCACCCCAGGCTCTGCTCACCTGCTGGCACTGTGCTCAGGAAGGGCTGGCTCTCCCCCTCCTCACTGCCTTTTTCCAGCTGTGCCCATGGCACCATATATACACCATGGCAGTATACACCATAATGATGCCCTGGCTCTGGCACACCAGGATACCCCAGGCTGGGGGTGCAGTTCACCTTCCCAAAACAGTGAACCCCCTTTCACCTCCAGTGAGTTGATCCCAGGAGTGCTCACCACTTAACTGCCCCCCGGGTGTTGATCTTGCTGCTAAACCAGCCATTCTCTGGGAAAGAAAACACTGCCTTTGACCCCTGTGATTAAGCTCAGTGCTTGGATTGGTTTCCCATGGGTTACACCGACTGTTGAGGAGTCTGCACCAGCCCTGATTACAGCTCCAGCGTTTACAGCAGATCAGAGTCCACAGCCAGGGCCCTGATCTCCCAGTGCTGCCTCTACCAGCCTGAACTGGTGAAAGCCCAGTCCTGGGCTAGGAAAGGCTGGGGCTTTTCTAGTCTTGGGTGATGCAACCTGTCCCAAAGTAGCTCAAAGGAAGCATGGGCTTGGGCTTGGCAGATGATGCAGCCAGTTCACGGGTGTGATGTGCTCAGAGTGGGCTATAGGTCCAGGGCAGCCCGTCCACCTGGTCCCGAGACCCTCTAATGCTGAAGAACACCAAAAGGTGGCTGCAGAGCAGGAGGGACATGGTGCCACACTGTGCGTGCAGGTCCCCAGGAGTGAGCCCTCTTTCCCCAGCTGCCTGTGGTCCCCAAGGCTGGGCCCTGTGCACCCAGTGGGCATGAGGTGTAATGCACAGCAAAGCCAGCACCCTGTCCAGCCCCCCACCTGGGCTCTGCAACCCAACCCGGCCATGCCCTCCAGCTGTGCCCAAAGCCCAGCTGGGTCCTGTATCCCACCTTCTCCTGCACCCCAAATCCTCCTGCAGCCTAACCTTGGCCTGCACCTTGCCTGGGTCCTTCACCCTAAGGTTCCTGCCTTCTCCCACCTGCCCTGGCAACCCTTTGGGATGGAAACCCTCTGGGATGACCACCTTCCACTTGGTGCACCCCGAGGGTGGCTGTGGGCTGCACAGTAGGGAGAGAGGGTGGTGGGGGTGTGCGAAGAGGCTGCAAATAGGGAGGGCTCAGAAGCAGTGTCTGGGTGCAGGGTGGGTGGCCTCAATGCACGCCATGCAGGTGGGGGACCACAGAGCGTGGGTGTGGGGTGCCCCTGCTCTGCGGCATCCTGTGAGCCCAGATATGGGGCATGGGGGACACAGGCCCCTGCACCCCCG